AAATAAGACAGATTTCTGGTTTCTTTGTTTGATTAAATAAGACAGATTTCTGTTTTTTTTGTTTGATTAAATAAGAGAGGTTTCTGGTTTATTTGTTAGATTAAATAAGACAGATTTCTGGTTTCTTTATTTGATTAAATAAGACATATTTTTGGTTATTTGTTTGATTAACTAAGACAGATTTCTGGTTTCTTTGTTTGATTCAATAAGACAGATTTCTGGTTTCTTTGTTTGATTAAATAAGAGAGATTTCTGGTTTCTTTGTTTGATTCAATAAGACTGATTTCTGGTTTCTTTGTTTGATTCAATAAGACAGGTTTCTGGATTCTTTGTTCGATTAAATAAGACAGATTTCTGGTTTCTTTGTTTGATTAAATAAGACAGATTTCTGGTTTTTATGTTCGATTAAATAAGACAGATTTCTGGTTTTTATGTTTGATTAAATAAGACAGATTTCTGGTTTCTCTGTTTGATTAAATAAGACAGATTTCTGGTTTATTTATAGAACTAACATATAATGAAGAAAGAATAATATATGGACCATTAAGTTTGACTAAAGAGACTTATAGATTCTTTGGATGATAGTTTGAAAATTTATTGATTTTTGAAAATAGATAACGAGGAGAATTTAGTACTTCCCGATAATATTTAAATCAAAACTAAACAACAGAGAAAACTAAGGAAACTTTAGTTGCCATGACTATAAAACTATATATACGTATTATCTCTAGTACTGTTGTCATGACTATAAAACTATATATACGTATTATCTCCAATACTGTTGTCATGACTATAAAACTGTATATATATGTATTATATCCAATATTGTTGTCATAACTATAAAACTGTATATACGTATTATCTCTAATGCTGTTGTCATGACTATAAAACTGTATATACGTAGTATCTCCAGTACTGTTGTCATGACTATAAAACTGTATATACGTATTATCTCCAATACTGTTGTCATGACTATAAAACTGTATATACGTATTATCTCCAGTACTGTTGTCATGACTATAAAACTGTATATACGTATTATCTCTAGTACTGTTGTCATAACTATAAAACTGTATATACGTATTATCTATAGTGCTGTTGTCATGACTACAAAACTGTATATACGTATTATCTCTAGTGCTGTTGTCATGACTATAAAACTGTATGTACGTAGTATCTCCAGTACTGTTGTCATGACTATAAAACTGTATATACGTATTATCTCCAGCACTGTTGTCATGACTATAAAACTGTATATACGTATTATCTCTAGTACTGTTGTCATGACTATAAAACTGTATATACGTATTATCTCTAGTACTGTTGTCATGACTATAAAACTGTATATACGTATTATCTCTAGTACTGTTGTCATGACTATAAAACTGTATATACGTATTATCTCTAGTACTGTTGTCATGACTATGTAAACTTCCCCTAGTACTTCAGTGTACTTATTGTAGCACAAAACTCCGGTATTTGAAGTTCATATTGATTTGTCAATAATGTTTCACTTTTTTCAAACAAAAACGGCACTTAGAACAACAGGAAAATCAACTTTACGAGAAATACGAGCCGCGGAGTGATGCTCGAAGACATCAAACACGCCGACTCTATTGACCAGTAATTGTTTGTTTGTTTATTGTTAAACTACACAATGAGCTATTTATAGTGTTCTCACCACGAGCACCGTTTTTAGCTTCACAAGCCTTCACACTTACAGCTGAGCCACTTACGGGCAATACTTTGGTTAGAGTTGAAGACTGAATACTGGTTAGGTATATCAAATTACAAATCTAAATATCGGTTGGGTATTTTAGATTAATAATCTGAATATCAATAAAAAATATCAAAATGCAAATAATAACGTCTTAGTCCTATACAAAGAATGAAATTGTTAAAATATAATATAATATATACAATATAATATAATATAATATATACAATATATATACATATAACTTTTGGAAAGCAGCTTCTTAATTAAACGGATATGAGTTATGAGAAAACAAAAAGCGAAAACAATAGATCAGAAAATTAAAATTAAAAAGCCGACAGTAATAACAGAATTTTTGAAACTAACGATTAAAGCAAAGAGCGAGTGATAAGAGTATCATATTATTACGCCCTAACAAAGTAAATTACAAGGTTTTAAGGATATTATATTATTACACCCTAACAAAGTAAATTACAAGGTTCTAAGGATATCATATTATTACACCCTAACAAAGTAAATAACAAGGTTCTAAGGATATCATATTATTACACCCTAACAAAGTAAATAACAAGGTTATGAGGATATCATATTATTACACCCTAACAAAGTAAATAACAAGGTTCTAAGGATATCATATTATTACGCCCTAACAAAGTAAATTACAAGGTTTTAAGGATATTATATTATTACACCCTAACAAAGTAAATTACAAGGTTCTAAGGATATTATATTATTACACCCTAACAAAGTAAATAACAAGGTTATGAGGATATTATACTATTACACCCTAACAAAGTAAATTACAAGGTTCTAAGGATATTATATTATTACATCTTAACAATGTAAATAAGAAGGTTATGAGGATATTATATTATTACACCCTAACAAAGTAAATAACAAGGTTCTAAGATATTAAACCTCGAAGTCTGAGGTCATCTGAATACTTTCTATGACCTTGTATATAGGAGTAGAAGTCATTTCCCATACAAAAGTCCTTTTATAGATTTCTTAACTAGGGTTAATTCAGATGTACGAGAAATTATGGTAATATTTCAATACATTTTGATTCCTTGGAATGGTTTAGAAATAATTCGCCCCCCCCCCCCCCACGTGGCACAGCGGTATGTCTGCGGACTTACAACGCTAGAATCCGGGTTTCGATACCCGTGGTGGGCAGAGCACAGATAGTCCATTGTGTAGCGTTGTGCTTAATTACAAACAAACACAAATAATTCTAGTTGTTTTTGTTTTTTAAAGCGAGCTATAGAAATAAATTATTTTCTATGATTATTTTCGAAAAGTTTTAAAATCTCTTATCAAAGTTTGTTAGAGTATTTATTTATTCAATGACCACGAGGGTTGTGAAAACCTTCGCCAGTACATTGGTTCATTAGAATAACAATTACTCTTACTAACTACTACTCTCTAATTGGTTCGTTTGAGAACCGTTCCTATTAACGTGCTGATTCCATTGTTGTTACGAATATCATGCCACAATTCTTTTCGTTGTTATTAAGCACAAATCTGCACAATGGTCTAATGCTTACCACCGGGATCGGTTTTCGAATTTTAGCGTTATAAGCCACAAGATTATCTGTGGGTCAACGGGTGGGGCACATAAAAAAAAAGAGATGGTCCAGTCTTTCTGGATTATCATACTTTCATTAGGTCAGTATCAGACACAAGTACACAACCTGTACACAACCAGACCAGCACTTCTGGGAGTCCCAAAGTCTTTCTAAGTGCTCTTCGCCTCAGCACTCGTGCCTCGAGTTTGTACACAGCATCTGTGTTATTCTTGTTCCACTGATATTTTTACAAAGTACTGACCTAGCTATTCCACTGCGCTTCGGTATTGATATCTTCATCCTTTTTGTTCTTACTAATCAAAGTGATTCTTTACAACTTTTATCGGTTATTTAAAATATTTACTTTAACAATACTCATTTTGAAGAATCTTTTCGGTTCTGATATGTTTGTTTTAAACTCAATGTTCCAGTATCAATCATCCAGTAATAATTCGATATATATATACATAAATACGAACACATACATACCTATATATATGTACAGATACACACACGCATATATAAGACACCATTTCAATATCAGTTCCGATACGTTTTTTTTTTTTTTCAAATATACTGTTTCACTATCGTTAATCCAATAATGATTGATTTGATATATGCACACATGCCGTTTCAATTTTAGAGAGACGTAACACTTGATAGGTCGTTTCGAAACTTGAATGATGTTTCAAAAGAGAAAAAAACACCTGACATACCGATTTGTTAAAAGTTACAGTGAAGGTATTATTCATCAAACGTTATGGTTTAAGACACAGCATAATTACGTGATGTTTGTTAACTCAATAACTTTAATTAATAGGCCTTCATCTTGGGTTGTTTGTGAGTACATTATGACAATTTCACAATACATCAAGTTTCAAATGTACAGAATAGAGCGTTTTTACAATATATAGTTTAGAGAATAGACTGACCACTGGTCATCTAAGTGACATTTAACCTAATAATACAACTTCATTTTTTTATTATTATAAAAACACAAGTATTATACAATTAACTGGAAAAGTAACACGTGATTTATATTTTTTCTGCCACGGGTAACAAGGTAAAAACGTGCAATATTATTTAATTTAGCAATATCACCACTCCACTTTTTTTTTTCCAAATTTAATAAAGTACAACAGATGGCAGCACAGTAGTTTACAGATTCCAAGTTTGCTGTATTCACAACATACAGAGTAAGAAAATTAACACAATTAAAGCACACTTGTTGTTAAAACCAAACATAGATAACGTTACGTGGCAATCAAACGTTTGAGATAAGTGTCTTGTTTAGTCAAAACAAACAGATATAATGAATTTGAGATGCAAAACATCTTAAGTAAATCACAGAACACATACATAAGAATGAGCTTTGTTGAGCTACAAACACGAACGCTTTTTCTTTCTTTTTTTTTGGGTTTCTGAGTTTTACGACAAGTAATAAAACCATTTTCAAAATATTGACAATAAATATTACATACCTTATAGTACAAACATTTAACAACGACTGATTGCAAGAACTTTTAAAGTACAAATTTTGATAACATTCCTGTTAAAAAATACCTTAATAGGAAAAGAAACATCTTGCAAGTTAGTTGATGTTTAAACATTCAGTTACTTTGGTTAGAGTCGAAGAGATACATCTTTCAAGTTAGTTGGTTGTTTAAACATTCAGTTACTTTGGTTAGAGTTGAAGAGATACATCTTTCCAGTTGGTTGTTTAAACATTCAGTTACTTTGGTTAGAGTTGAAGAGATACATCTTTCAAGTCAGTTGGTTGTTTAAACATTCAGTTACTTTGGTTAGAGTTGAAGAGATACATTCTGCAAGTCAGTTGGTTGTTTAAACATTCAGTTACTTTGGTTAGAGTCGAAGAGATACATCCTGCAAGTTAGTTGGTTGTTTAAACATTCAGTTTCTTTGGTTAGAGTTGAAGAGATACATCTTTCAAGTCAGTTGAGTGTTTAAACATTCAGTTACTTTGGTTAGAGTTGAAGAGATACATCTTTAAAGTCAGTTGGTTGTTTAAACATTCAGTTCTTTGGTTAGAGTCGAAGAGATACATCTTTCAAGTTAGTTGAGTGTTTAAACATTCAGTTACTTTGGTTAGAGTTGAAGAGATACATTCTGCAAGTCAGTTGGTTGTTTAAACATTCAGTTACTTTGGTTAGAGTCGAAGAGATACATCTTTCAAGTTACTTGGTTGTTTAAACATTCAGTTACTTTGGTTAGAGTTGAAGAGATACATCTTTCAAGTTAGTTGAGTGTTTAAACATTCAGTTACTTTGGTTAGAGTCGAAGAGATACATCTTTCAAGTTAGTTGGTTGTTTAAACATTCAGTTTAATAGAATGTGGGAAGAAAGGTTGACCTTTCTGGATTATAGGGTTTCTTATTTTAGTCTTTAATTTTGAAATTATAGACCAGAGACAAGGTAGCTAGTTAACAGCATCCACCACTAACTCTTGGGTTACTCTAATGGAAGAGTGTGATTTGACCGCTACTCTTATAACGCACCCATAACCCCAAAGAGAAGTAGAATATAGTTGAGTAGATATCAACATAGACGTCTATTTAGTTTTTTTATGGTGTCATTTTGCCTCAGCTTCTAATTCTTACTGTTACTCTTTCCCAAGAATCAAGCTGTAGAAAACACGACTTGTCCGAACCTGAGTAGTTTCATAAAATAAGAAAACAGTTACATATTACTTCTGAAGTACGGAGGAACGAAAGGAACAATAATGTTTTTAACGCTCTTCAGTCATAGTTTGGTACTCTTAAATATGTTTTAAGAAAATATTGTGATAAAACAAACAAATTTCCAGCTCACTTCTATAAGGTTTAAAAAACAGGGAGAAACCTTTGTCTGTTTTGGCCGAGAACAAGTATAGAACACAAGATGACAAGACCAGATAACACAAGAAAGATCAAACACTCAAGAAAAGTCGAACTCAGTTTTAATCACAGAGAACAAGTATAGAACACAAGACCAGATAACACAAGAAAGATCAAACACTCAAGAAAAATCGAACTCAGTTCTAATCACAGAGAACAAGTATAGAACACAAGACGACAAGACCAGATAACACAAGAAAAATCAGACACCACTCAATAAAAGTCGAACTCAGTTCTAATCACAGAGAACAAGTAAAGAACACAAGATGACAAGACCAGATAACACAAGAAAAATCAGACACCACTCAATAAAAGTCGAACTCAGTTCTAATCACAGAGAACAAGTAAAGAACACAAGATGACAAGACCAGATAACACAAGAAAGATCAGACAACACTCAAGAAAAGTCGAACTCAGTTCTAATCACAGAGAATAAGTAAAGAATACAAGATGACAAGACCAGATAACACAAGAAAGATCAGACAACACTCAATAAAAGTCGAACTCAGTTCTAATCACAGAGAACAAGTAAAGAACACAAGATGACGAGACCAGATAACACAAGAAAAATCAGACAACACTCAAGAAAAGTCGAACTCAGTTCTAATCACAGAGAACAAGTAAAGAATACAAGATGACAAAACCAGATAACACAAGAAAGATCAGACAACACTCAAGAAAAGTCGAACTCAGTTCTAATCACAGAGAATAAGTTAAGCTTTACTTACTAGATGTCATTAACATTAGGCTTTTTGGGCTCACTTGAAATAACAAGGTTTTATTGTTATCATTATAAACTATCCTGTTGTTCTTTGATTTAATAGATATGGCAAATTCAAGTTATTTTAACCCGATATTTATATTGGGGGGAGGGGAGCAAAGCCATAGACTTTATATGGAGGAGATAGATCAAGGGCTATATTTGGAGGAGCGATGTCGCGGTTTTATAAGGAGGAGCGGGACCATAATCTTTATAAGGAGGAGCAGAGAAGTGAGGTCGTTATCTTTTATATAGAATGAGCGGGACCGTAATTTTTATAAGGAGGAGCAGGAAAGTGGAATCGGGGTCTTTATATGGAGGAGCGGGACCATAATCTTTATAAGGAGGAGCAGAGAAGTGAGGTCGTTATCTTTTATATAGGATGAGCGGGACCGTAATTTTTATAAGGAGGAGCAGGAAATTGAATCGGGGTCTTTATATGGAGGATCGGGACCATAACCTTTATAAGGAGGAGGAGCAGGGCTCCAGTATTTGTATGGATGAACAGGGGAGTGGTGGTGGTGTATTTATATAGGCAGTGAAGTCATGGTATTCTCATGAAGAAGTGGGACTGTACATATATATGGTCAATAATCTAATGACGTCATACAGGACCTCGCCACCGACGGTTCAACCATACAAGATGTAAAATTGTTAAAGGCTTAGACGTTTTTGTTTTTATTTTGATAGCAGGATTATGAAAGAGAACACAGTACTTCTGATATGAGTGAACGCGAATTGTAGAGTTTAAGTTTTACCTCTTATAATCACGTTACTTTTCCATCCGATCCATCGAAACAACTATTTTCAATCAAAAAGCTTTCTCCTGCTTTCAGTTTAAAAACATCTTATTCGAACAAGGCTTTTGAGTCTCGTGCTTATTGTTAAACCTCCTGACGTATCTGAGAAAAGAAAAAAAATCAATTTGCCTTGGATATTTATTTGATATTTTTCACTCTCTCGTGTCAACCCAATCCTTGGAGCTCCGATATTACATTTGATTCACAAGTAAGCTGTCGAGATCCATTTTTGACTGAGGCTTATCCAATTGGAATATCTCTACACACACACACACACACACACACATATACACACACACATATATATATATAATAAGATTTAATACAGATTTTGTTGATTATAAAAGTCTCGTGGGAACGTCGTCATCAAACTGAGTTTTCACGAGAAAAGTGGTGAGCTTTCCTTTTCCTTTCACTTCAACCAAACCGCGACATTCACATTCGTACCCACAATCCACCAGTACTCTCGTGGTTTCCTCAGTGACCTGCCAAGAAACAAACATTTTTTTCAGGCAAATTTAAAAAGAAAAACTTTTCAGTGGTTTGTTTGTTGTTAAGCGCAAAACTACGCTATGAGAAGTCCTTGCTGTGTCAACCACAGGGATCTGGGCTCGAATTTTAGTTGAGCCACCAGGAAGAATGGTTAAAAATATATAAAAATACTAACCTAGCAACAAGTAGGAGCACTTATCTTCTACTTGTTATCTTACAAATAATAACCTAGCAACAAGTAGAAGCACTTATCTTCTACTTGTTATCTTACAAGTAATAACCTAGCAACAAGTGGGAGCACTTATCTTCTACTTGTAATATTGCAAGTAATAACCTAGCAACAAGTGGGGGCACTTATCTTCTACTTGTTATCTTACAAGTAATAACCTAGCAACAAGTAGGATCACTTATCTTCTACTTG